AACAAGCTGCTACAATAGGATCACAAATTGTACAGGGGCTCAATCGCATCAGCAATGGTGCTGTGCAGGGATTTATCTTTCGGCCCCAACAATGACCGCAGGCTCTTAATCACTGCAGCAAAGGGGCCGCGCTTGAGGAAGCCCCCACGGTGTGTCATTACAGCGGGGGCCCACCTTTGTCGGTGAGGCCTTTGGTCCTGCTTTCATTAGTTTAATGCCTCTCTGCCCACTGTCCTCTCCACAGCTTATTAAATCAATAGAACCGACCAGGGGTACAAAGTCTGGCAGGAGGCCCAATCCCGCCATTGCCCAAGCTGTCCAGATGCACAGCACTGGGGCTGGGCCTGTCCCCCCCCCTTCTCCTCCCAGCCTGGCAAGGCCTAGCCTGGAGCCCAGAAGCTGGCACTCTGAAAGGCTGGGAGAAGCTCTTGGTTAGGCATCCTTCAGTCTCAAGAGCCCATGAGAACGTGCTCTGAACGGCGTCTTGGAACAGCATCTAGTGTGGCTGAAGAGGCCAATTCGAGAGTCACAATCCCTTCCACATTGAGGACAAATACAATCTGTCCCCTGCCCAGCTCCCTGGTTTTGCTGATTTCGGGACTGCCTCTTTGCCTCAGCCTGCTGGGCAACGGTCTCGTCAAAATGGGAGAGGTCACGATGCACCGCCTGCCTCCAGGCTGAACGCTCGGAGGTCAGGGTTTCCCATCTGTTGAGATCCATTCCTAAGGCCTTCAGATCCCGCTTGCATATCTCCTTGTGGTCTCCCTCTGGGGCGATTTCCCTGCACTAGTTCTCCATACAGGAGATCTTTTGGAATCCGACCACCAGCCATTCTCACGACGTGCCCAAGCCAACGCAGACGTTGCGGTTTCAGTAATGTATTCATGCTGAAAATTCCAGCTCATTCTAAAACTACTCTATTTGGAACTTTGTCCTGCCAGGTGATACCAAAAATGCGTCTGAGACAACGCATTATGGAACATGTTCGGCTTCCTCTCCTGCCGTGCACAAAGGGTCCGGGACTCACTGCAGGACAGGAGTGTGCTCAGGACACAGGCTCTATAGACCTGGATCTTGGTATATGCCACCAGCTTCTTATTAAGCCATACTCTCTTTGTGAGTCTAGAGGACATGGTAGCTGCTTTCCCAATGCGTTTATCCCGCTTGACATCTAGGGAGAAAGTGTCAGGGATCATTGAGCCAAGGTACACAAAGTCACAAACAATCTCCAATTCTTGCGCGGAGATGGTAATAGAGGGAGGTGAGTCCACACCCTGGCCCATGACTTGTGTTTTCTTCAGGCTGCTTGTTAGTCCAAAGTCTTGGCAGGCCTTGCTAAAACGATTCATGAGTTGTTGGAGGTCTTCAGCAGAGTGGGCAACAACGGCTGCATCATTGGTGAAGAGGAAGTCCTGCATGCATTTCAGCTGGACTTTGGTCTTTGCTCTCAATCTAGAGATTAAAGAGCTTTCCATCTGATCTAGTCTGGAGATAGACACCTTCTGTTGCAGTTTCAAAGGCCTGCTTCAGCATGACAGCAAAAAAAGATTCCAAACAGGGTTGGCACAAGAAGCTCTTGATGGCTTTGGAGAGTCCAGGGGTGGGTGAGGTGGGGAGCTATTTCCCCTTTGGAGGGTCAGCTGTTCCATGGCACTGGGCCATCATCCCACACCACTTGGCACGAGAGTCTCCAAAGCCAACTGCCATGATCAGAGGAAGCTGCTGTTTGAGAACCACCAGCCTAAAGCACGTTCCTCTCGGAAGGAAGGAAGGAAGGAAGGAAGGAAGGATGGATGGATGGATGGATGGATGGATGGATGGATGGATGGATGGATGGATGGATGGATGGATGGGCGGACAGGTGGACAGACGGATGAATGGGTGGACAGACGGATGAAAGGACAGATGGACAGAACTCAGGGATTTCAGGTCAGCCTTTCTCAGATCCCAGCACACATAAACAGAGACACCACACATTGTACCTGATGAAATGGGCAATAGCCCCTGAAAGCTTGAAATCAGAGGTCTTGTTTGGGGGTTTCTCACAATGATTCTCTCTTCCGGGAATTTTCCCAGACAGACGGACACCTTAGAGACACCTAAATATGGTTCACCTGGAGGAAGGGCCTCAATTGGCCTAGCCTTTGCCTAGTTTCCTGTTCAGAAAGAAAGCTCCCAGCTAGCCCTGGGGCAGGAACCGGAAGCTTGGGCAGACCTAGGCCTCGGGGCCTTCCAGTCTAGGCCTTCCTCCCAGGTGAGCCATATTTAGGTGGCGTGAGGTGTCTGTCAGGTAGCACTCCCCAGAGTGGAGAATTATGGGATAGGTAGTCCAAGAATTCCAAAACTAACATCCCTAAATGCTTCTGGCCCATGCCGCCTTTTCGTCCTTAGGGCGCCACAAGACTCTGGTCTGTTTTTGCTGCCACGGGGTCAGCCAGTTCCCTCCCTCAAGCGGGATCACCCCAGCTCAGCCTGCTGGCTTCCAACACCTGGTTGCTCTCTATGAAGGCAGGATCTGCAAAGCTCAGCGGGGGCCTCTGGTCAGGCCGTGGTTTATTTGGCAGGACACGCACAAACCTGGCTGTTCCAAGCCCTCTGACCATTTCCTCAGACAAGAGAAAGAACCCCGGCTTGGCTTGGTGGTGGCGGTGGATTCACAGGGCAGGCCACAGAAACCAGCGGGCAAAGGTCCGAGCTTGGCTTAGCCCTTCTTCCTGCAGCCCAAGAGGGCAGCTGAGCAGAATCCACCCACACCTGGTTGTTCGTGCACAGAATGTGAAGTCCAGAGGGGAACGCTTGCTTACCCTTCGTGGTGCCCGAACCGAACCAAGCTCTCCCTGGCCACCCTTCCCAGAAGCCAGCCTTGCTCCTGGGGGGGTGCAAAAAATCTGAGCGCTCAGAGATTTGCTCAGACGCCTCCTTGAGATGCGAAGGGGCCAGACTCTGCGGCTGATGTGACTCGAGATGGAGCAAACCAGACCTGCCCCTGTACCCCATTACCCTGGCATCTTTACGGTCCGGAAGTAAGAGGCAGAACAGACAAACTGTTAAATAAGATTACCAGCCGAGAGACAGAGTGGGCTGCTGTCCGGTCAAGCTCTTTAACCTTTGCTACGGAGACATTCCCAGGCCTTCTCGGAAACTCTTCCCTCTTCCCGACAAAGCCTGGGGTGGAATGCAAAGCCCTGGACCCGGAGCAGATAATCCCATTTGGGAAGCAGAGGGACGGCGGCGCCCGGGTCAGGCTGAGATGAGACAGAGGAAGCCGAGAAGAGGAGGAGAGCCCGGGAGCTGGGCAGGGCCAAAGCCGTGCCAGGTCCAGCATCCTCTTCACCAACGGAGCGGAAGGATGGAGAAAGGGTTTGGGGGGGGAAGGGGGTGTCCCCAGCACCCAGGGGACAAGAGGGTGCTCCTCCAGCCACACCCTGTGGACTTGCTCCCTGAATTGTTTCAGCAGAGGGGGCCGGAGGGGGGGGTGGCACATTGCCTCCAGACTGGAGCTGTCAAAGGCAAGAAGGTGGGAGAGGCTGGGAGGGGGGGAGAGAGAAGGTGTTGCCTTTGGGGCAACTCAAGACCGGTGAGGATTCAGAGACCTTTCAGAGCATCCTCTGCCGGAGGGACAGGGATGGGCTTCTTCTGCCACCCTGGTGTCCCTCGGGGCAGAGCCCTGCAGGGGGTGAGGTGGGGGCTCCAACTTCAAAAAATGCTTCCTTAGCACCGACCCTTGGCCTGAAAACAAAAGGTGACACCCTCCGCCCCCCAAAAAAACCCCCAGTTCTCAGCCACAGAGCAGAGCGAGGAGGGAGAGCCTACGGAGGCCTATCCAGACCAATGTGAAAGAGCATGAGAAAAAACAACAAAAAGTAGAAAAATTAAAAACTAAGACTCAAAACTGAGAAGAAAAGAGTCCTTGGAAAAAACCTTGATGTTAGGAAGGTGTGATGGCAAGAGGAGAAGGGGACGACCGAGGATGAGATGGCTGAACAGTGTCTGCGAAGCAACCAACATGAACCTGACACAACTCCGGGAGGCAGTGGAAGACAGGAGGGCCTGGCGTGCTCTGGTCCATGGGGTCACGAAGAGTCGGACACGACTAAACGACTAAACACACACACACAAGACTCAAAACTGTTAAATTTTCCTGATTTTTCCTGTTACATTTCTGAAGAAGAGGAGGTGACCCCACATCCAGTTAATTCTTATATAAACTGCCCTACGCAGTGATCTCACTAAGTCTGGCACGATATAAAGGTAATAAATAAATAAATAAATAAATAAATAATGTTAAAGAAATTCTTTTGTCTGAATGTCCTTGCACAGACTAACTCGACAACACCAATGGAGGTGATCCTGCCAAGGGGTTCTCTGTGGCAGGCACGGGGGGGGGCAGCGGGGGGGCAGCTGTTGGATCAGCCCAAGCAGACCAAAGGGGGTCCTAGCCCTGCCACAGCTCTCACCCCCCCTCTGTGATCTTTCAGGGGATGTGTAGCACCGTCCCCTGATCGCTCCCCTCCTTGTTGCCACAGGGTCCCACCAGAAGCCACGGGTGGTTGCACCTGGGGGAGGCAGAGACTCTGAGGGGCCCCACACCTCACCCCCTCTGGATTCCCCCTCTCCCTGGGACCCACTTCTTCCCGGAGGGAAAGGTGGGGGTCACACACGGTGGGAGCCAGAATTAACTCCTGCCTCAAGAGTGTGGTGCTGCACGCAACAAAGGGGAAGTGGCGGGCTATAAAAAGACAGGTGGGGAAAGGCTCCACTTCCACCATTTATATAGCAGCCGAAGGGACCCTTAAAAGCCGTCCGGTTCATTTCGTGGCTGGCCCTCCTGCTTCGGTGCAGGCCGTTACCAAGACCACATCCTTGCCCTGGCTGGTGTCAACGGGGGGGGGGGGGGGGGGTTGGGAAGTCAGAGTTCGGGCAGACCCGCAAGCTGCACGTACGCTTGATGCCGGTTCGGCAGTGCAGCAACCAAGGGATCAGGTCCACCCCCACCAGCCTCTACTCAAACACACAAAGGAGAGGCATTCTCCCCCCCACACACACCCACACCCACACTGTCCTGAGGCTGCCTGCCTGCCTGCCCCACAAATCCCTGTTTGGAGGCATCTGCTACTGTGTCCGACATTCTGGGTGGGTTCCACGCACTGGTTCCAGTCCACGTCTGTGGAGGCAGAGAGGAGGCGTCTTCTCCATCTTCGGCACAGCAGCCCCAGCTGTATTGGGCAACTGCTTGCCCCATCCCGGGCTTCTCCAGGCTGAACGTACTTTGCTTCTTTGGCCACCCCTCAGGGGACTTGTATCCCAGACCAAGGCAAGGCATGCTTTCCTGTCACGTGGCCGCGATCCTTCCTGATTGCGTTGGCTCTTTGTCCCCCCTTTGAGCCACTAGGAGGACATTGAGGCCCCTTTGGCAAAGTACAGATGCCCGGGTGGGGCTCCTGCCTGCTCCCTCTTTTGGCCCCTGCCCTGCCTGGGTATGTGCATGGAAGGAGCACGGTTTGGGATTACGCCCCTGGAGCAGGTAGGGAGGGGTCTGCTAATCCCCTCTGTTAAACCAGGAGGAAATGCCCTGCCCAACACGAACAATGGGGAGGGGGGGGCGAAATAATCCCCGTCATCAAAGTGGACCCGGGAAGCAAGGCGGCCCAATTGGATTACTGGGGAAAGGAGGAGGGGAGCTCAGCTCGTGCAGGGATGCTCCGGAGGGGGGACGGCCCTTTGTCCCTGCTTCTCTCTCCCAGCTGGGATTAGCCTCGGCCTCAAAGGGCCTAAACCCAGCTCATGCCTTCAGGGGCTGGGCCTGAACCCAGAGCCCATTCAGGAAGGAGGTCCCCAGGGATATGCCCACCAGACCCACTGGCCTCAGCCGGGGCACAGAGAAGGGAGGGACTCCTCCCGGGCAGGTCTTTGTCACATCCCCCTGAGGACAGAAAAGGTGCCGGCGGGTGTGGGAGTAAAGTTATCAAACCCAACCGTCCCGCGGCCAGTGCACGGTGCCTGCAAGCCAACACCATCTTGGAACTTTCCCTGGCCTGCAGGCTAAGAGGTCTGGCTCAAAGGGGCACACCCAGCCCCTTATTTGTGCCCCAGGGATGTGGATGAATCTGCAGGCGTCCTGTAAGAAGGAAGAGGTGTCAGTGGGACCTGAATCCTGCCTGATCAAACCCTGGCAACCTCACTCACCCTTTTGCCTTGTTTCCTGGAGAACCTCCTGCTTTGGGGTCCTGGAACAGAGAACCAACCGTGTGGCTACAAATGAGGTGAGCCCAGGGAGGGTCAAGCCCGAGGTGTGGATCTAGGCAACCCGAGGTTCTTGCCTCTTGGCTTTTCCAGCTGGGCAGCAGGGACCTCTTAGCCCTCCCTCCCCTGCTCTGATGTTCTTGCTTCCTCCTCCTCCTCCTCCTCCTCCTCCTCCTCGTTACAGCAGCCACGGCCTATGCACAGAACTCCATCCTTGGCACTTCCCTGCCTATGTGGCGAATATCCTTCATCCTTCTGAACCGCTCTGCCCATAAACACAGAAGCTCTTACTTACTCCCTGCCTCCAGGAGGATCCTTTCTCCTGTTCAGTAGCCACGCGTTCGCCACTCGGTCCCTGCACCCCTACCACTAGGTCCCAAATGATCCTAACATGGAAGACGCTCGCGCATCCAGGGAAGTGCTTCGCAGGAGAGGGCGCCCGCCAAGACGCCATCCTCAGACCAACTGCTCCGTAGACCAGCCATCTCTAGGAGGTCCACCCTCTGCTTAATCCTGATCGCTGAGGTTCTGGCCCCTGCTCACTCCTGGGCGCTGGTATGTAGCAGCAAGCGCTCTGCCCAGGCCCAGATGCACTGTTGCTTTGCACCTTTTGTGCTTCTCTCCATCAGCTGCCTCGGCCGGGGCTGTGCCTTTTCGAGAGGACCAGAGCCCCCGGCTCAGAGGAAGGTCTGCCGGAGAGCCAGGCCTTTTCTGGGCTCCACCTCTGGACCCTCCATGGCCTCTGCCCCGCTGGGCTGCTCTCCGCTAACCTTTCTCCAGAGGATCCGTCCTTGATCGGATTCAGATGGCCAGTCGTTTGTCAGAGGCCTTGAAAACACGCACGGTACCTTGGGCTAATGATCTGGGAAAAGTCACACCTCAGCCCCCCGAGAGGGAAGCCGCCACCAGCCCTCTGCTCTGGTGTGACCTCCATTTTATAGGGAAGCTAATGGGGCTTGAGGGAGCCACCTCAGCTGGCCCAGAACACCTGTAAGGTCAGGCCAGGGAGGGGGGAGAGAGGGGAGGACAGCCCCACCAGAGCCCAGGCCAAGCGGCCCCTCCCCGCTTTCCCTGTGGCTTGGATTTCATTAGGTCCCAGGGACCCTGGAAGAAGACCGAGGTGGACGGACAGAGGAAGGCAGGGCTGAAAAAGCCACGAGGCACCCCCAGCCCCCCAGCCCCTTGTCCATGTAAGATGGGAGCGATGGAAGCTGGAGTCCAAAGCAGCTGGAGAAGCTGCCCTGTCGAGCTGGGGCCACAGGAAGAGGAGGAAGAGCGAGCGACGAAGGCCCCTGCCGGCCTGTGAAGCTGCGATCCCCATTGGGCAGAGCTGGGATTCGGAAAGATGGCTGGGAGCACCACCTTAAGGACCACACTGACAACGTAGGAAGGGAGAGGCGGCGGCGGCGGTGGGGGTGGGGGGAGTCCGGCACGCTTTGCCCCTGCGTGGCTTTGGTACCCTAAGCCAGGTGCCTCCCTCCCTCCCTGCATAGCTTCACCGGCCATTTGCTCTGAGGCTGCTTACATATGGATTCATTCGAGGGGCCGGCTACGGTGCCTTCTTGCTGGCCCGCTCACAAAACCAGGAGAACCCCATATGTGTCTGGGAACAGGAGCACCCCAGGGCGAGAAGCAGAGGGAACCCTCAGCTCAAAAACCGCTCCTGCCACGGCTGGGCATCGCCAGGGGCTGCTCGGAGCAAGCTGTGAAACCGGCATTCCCAGCACTCACCTCACAGGATGCGGAGAGACCAGGGGATGTGGGGTGAAGAAAACCCTGCCATAAATTAGGGGCATGCACACACACACCCCCTTCCAGAGAACAGGGGGGGGGAATGCTTCAGAAGGGGCTGTGTCAGTCCTGCTGAGATCCGCTCCTGTGAGCCAGCCCGCCAGTGCTTTTTGCCTTTGAATCTGGCAGGGCTTCCATGCTTTTACTCGTTCCCAGCAAGAGAGGGCCTGAGGCTGTGTCCCAGAGCATCTGCTTTGCCCACAGA